TTTGGTTTTTGTTTGTTTGGGGGGGGGGACGGTTTGTGCTCTTCTCCTTTTGATCAAGCTCTTTCTCTAAAAGCATCACTCATCAAGAGGTCAGGTTTTCTGGCTTCAATGGCTTTTTGTCCCTCAATGCCAGGAAGAAACTTTGCTGGGTGTAGTATCTCATTTTGGAAGGTAAGTACACAGATTGGAAACCTACTGAGTTCACATTTGAGTAACAAGTAGGAGGGAGAACTCTCAGGCCCTTTTTTTTTTTAAATCTAAGTCCATATGCTATCAAGATCATAAATACTTAAAATCATTTAAAGCTTTATGACATCATCAAAGGTTTGGTGACAAACTTCCAATAGACTTGGTCCAGATATCTTGGGAAAGCTATCTCATCAGATGTCATCTGCTTCAACTCCAGGAAATCCTCCCTTTCAGGTCCTCAGATGATAATACAGGTCCAGTCAGGGTTCACTGCTTTCTTTACATGTGTCACAGGAATATGAAAGTCTATTCCTTAAGGTCTGGCCACACAAGAGTTTGTTAGCAGTACCTGATAGAGGCCTCTCCAGCAATGCTGAAGAGAGTTCTTCTAGAGGTGTCTTTCCCAATGTACGAAATCTCCAAGTTTCAAGGTGTGAAGCTTAAGTACTTCATCCCCAGAGACTGTACTGTGAAAAGACTGCTCTACCAAAACATGGTTATTTTTAATAGGAGTAATTAGGCCTTTGCAATATTGTAGTGTTTCTCCTAATATCAGTTGTCAGTTAAAAGGAGAAGGACCCAAGTACATTAGGTGTCCTATGACCAACTCAAAGGAGAAGAGTTTATGAGCTCCAGAAGGGGTGGATCTGAGATTTAGAAAGACTAATGGCAATGCTTTTGGCCATGGTATTTGGAGGGCCTTTGCAAATTTTGTCAAATGAGTCTCAATAAAGCTGTTAGTGTGTTAGACTAACCCAGAGAATTGAGGGTGGTAAGAGCACTGAAAGTATTGTACAACTGTCCAAATGTGATGCACTTGTTAAAGTACCTGGCCAGTAAAATGGGTTTCTTGATCAGTATGAATTCTGAAATTATCCCAGGTAGGAATAATCTTTTCCAAAAAAAGACTTCAGCCACAGAAGAGGCAGTATCCTGTCTGCAAGAGAAGGCTTCAGTCCAGTGTGAAAATATACATACAGTGACTAAAACATTTGCATTCATTAAATGGAGGAAGTTGTGTGAAATCCATTTGCCTGAGCTGCAGTGGTCTATTAGGTAGTTTTAAACATCCAGAAACAGTATGAATAGGCCTCCCTGGGATGTACCTTGGACAAGAAGGGCAAGTGAAGCTGACACTTCTTCAGCCTTTTTAATGTTTCCCTACCACTACTGATTCATAGATGCTGTCATTCTGTCAGTAGATCAATGGTTTAATGCATATACAGTAATAAGGAGTATCAATTTTAGACTCTCTAGGAGGACTGGGTTATTTGGGCTAAACCAAAGCTTTCTCTTTTTTCAAAACAACAATTGTTGAATTTCCAATCTTGTGCTTCCCATTTCTACGGATAACTCTTGGGCTCCTCTAGCCAGTTTCTTATTTTATAATTTGGAGAATCTCTCTTTGGACCATGACAAAGGTTTGGCTGCTGGTAGTCCCTTGAAGGGCAGGATTCCTTGTTGGAATATCAGCCAGATCATTTCTCTTAGCTTCCAGAATCACATTTATAATAGCTAATGAGGCCATTAAAAGTACTGCATCGAATAATTCCACTTCTATTTTTATTTATTCTGGAAATAAAGGAAACCATTTTGCTCCCATAACATGACAAAATCATGAGCCATTCCAAAAGCATATCTACTATCCATATAAACACTGGCTAAAGTACAAGCCTGTTGGGCTTAAGTACCCACAGGTAAAGATGCTGCCTCAAAAAGATGAAAAGGAACAGTAATAGCATACCCAGCATAGTACTTGCCAGTGTCATATTTTAAATAAGAACCATGAGAAATCAGTGTTACCCACAGGAACTTCTTGTAGACCATCATGAGGAGTCAGGAGGTGTTCTGTGTTTATAGGGTATTGATTAATTCTGAGACGTGGTTTGGAGGTATCTCTTTGAATCATGATGTAAGGTATACTGTGAATTTTGCCGGTATCAGTTGGAGATTTTTAGCATAAGGAAGGTGGCCGCTGATACAACAGACACAAGTGACCAGAGTTTGCAAAGTCATCTAGTACCATCAGAGGTGGAACAAATAAGAAATGTCAAAGGATCACTTAATTCACATGGTAGGTTACTTGCATAACTAGTGGGATTGAGCACAGAGAGTGTGGCTCTGGTGTCAGGTAAGACTGGCATCCCCAATGTGGAGCAATGCTTCTCCAAGCTGATTCAGAGGGAGGATCAGGAATAGCCCCTGTAGCTCCTCATAACTGTGTGATGAACAAATGAGAGGATGTCAGAAAGGCTGGTTAAGAGGCTGTAGGCACCTAAAGAGCTTAAACATGTTCCATCTCTTTTCCAATGTTCTGGCTCTTTTCACTAATAACAGAAACTAGGCACATTTTTATTTCATAGAGGAGTCTTCATTTGCTAGGATTGAAGATTAAGAATTTTGGCAGTCTTTCTTTCAGGGGACTCATCTAGAGTGCAACTGAGCTGGTTTGCAAGATTAACTAAATCTGGACTAGGCACAGTTTCCCATTTCATCATAATCCTTCTTCCTAGAAGGGACAGATCCCAGTTCAGCCCATTAACAACCCCAGAGTTATAAACTACCCAGGTAAAATCAACACATTAAAGAAGACCAGAATTTTCTTTAAAAATAATCTGAAGTCAATTGTAAGAGTCATAAACAGATTAATCAGAATTTTTTGTTTCTATCAACAGACTTTGGAAAGGCCTTAGGAGTTGCTAGATGAAGTCACCTAGCAATTACCCAAGCTTGATCATGTAATAAGTTAGCAGGCTGTTCTCTTGGTTGTAATTCTAAAGATCTTTCAGGATTTTCCCATTCCTCAGTTGTCATCCAATGCTGGGCCTGGCCTTTACCAACAAGCATATGAACCAGTTGATAAAAGTCAGAGAAACCAAGCTGAGAAGTCTGAATGATTATATTAAATTCTTCACAAATCTGTGAGAATCTCCAGATACTTTGGGAAAAACTTGACAATGGCTTGTAGTTCAGCCTTAGTCCAGGGAGTAAAGGAAATTAAGGATTTAGACTCTGGATCTCAGAAGGCTTAATTTTAAAGGAATAGGTTGTGATAAATTCAGAGGAAAAGGGAGTGGGTAGAGTTTCAGAGAAAACATTAGTTAGGCAAGAAGATTACCAAGGAGGAATTGAGGGTACAGGTATACTCTCATTTTTTTGCACTTCGCTTTATTGCATTTTATAGATAATGTGTTTTTTTACAAATTGAAGGTCTGTGGCAACCCTGCATCAAGCAAGTCTATCAGCACTTTTCCAACAGAATTTGCTCACTTCATGTCTCTGCATCACATTCTGGTAAATCTCACAATAATTTAAATGTTTTCATTATTATTGTATTTGTTATAGTGTCTGTGATCAGTGAACTTTGATATCATTATTGTAAAGATTATGACTCAATTAAGACTCAGATAATGGTTAGCAGTTTTTAGTAATAAGGTATAATTAAATTAAGGTATGTATGATATGTTATAAGGTATTTTTTTTTGGTTTTTATTTATTTATTTTTTTTACATAATGCCACTGTACATTTAACAGACAACAGTATAGTGTAAGCATTACATTTATATGCACTGGGAAACCAAAAAATTTGTGTGACTTGTTTTACTGCAATATTTGATTATTGTGGCAGTCTGGAACTGAACCTATCACATCTCTGAGGTATGCCTGTATGTAAAAGGCATAGGTGGCAGAAAGTAAAGGAGAAGGATGAAGCGAAAGGTGGAGTCTGAAACAAAGATGCTAAGAAAAAAGTTTGAGGCTTCAGGATCAACTTTATCTTTCTTTGTGTGTTTACCTCCATTAGTCTTCAGATCTTTTTTTGCTGAAAAGTAATTTTAGGCTTCTGATAACATTTGGAAGCCTCAAGATACCAACTGAAATAGGCATACCACTCAGTTCCAAAAACTGATGAGCTATTGTGATTCAATTCAATTTTTAGAAAATTAATTTTGGGTATTTTGAAAGTTCCCCACATTGGCCTTAGTTAGTCATTTAGTTATAAATGTGCTTGAGGAAGGATTGCAGTTTAAAGGATTGAAGCATAAAATTGGCTGGAGTCCCTACAGGGATGGCCCTCAAAATATTTAGATAACTGAGATCCTACTTCTCACAGGTTTTTCTCCATGTAAAATGACAATTTTCAAAAAGCTTAAACACTTTACAGCTCAAAGAACTCAATTAAAACAGTTTGCAAGTCTAAATACTAGTCAACTCCAAGGAAATAGGTTAGTTCCGGAAAAGTCAGGCCAAAGCCTTTTTCAGCCAGTTTCCAGAGAATAGCTTACTCGAAAGATATAGGCCAAAGGCTGAAAAACCAGCAGTTTGAGTGAAGCAGCCCCTGCTTCCAAAGGAATGGATCAAAGGGATGTTTAATTAGCTTCATTCAGTTGAAACAGTCCAATTAAAAATCATACCTAAATGCCAAACAAGTACTTGCATAGAGAATAAGGCCTTAACAAGAAAGACAAAACCTTAAAATAGATCACAGGCTCAACCTGGAAATTTTCAAATACAAAGAGAGCATGAGCTCAGATCCAGGAGAAAGACATACCTTCAAACTCCAACATCAGAAAGAAAAGCAGTAAGCAGCAATAGCTTCCGTTGTGGGTACTGCACCTGTATGCTTACAGACCCTGAGCCTTTGGGGCATATTCTCTAGTCCCAGAATACACCACCAAAATGTTGGCCTGAAACAAATAGACTACCATGTATTTCTCCAGCAAACATGGATGGATTCAGGAGCCTCAGAGAATAGCACAATTCAGGGTCTGCAACCATGGCAAGCCATGTGAAAGTTCCCATCCAGCGAGGGGAGGAGAATGCTTTTACAGAGGGGGAAAAGTTGGGAGGGCTGTAGGAAACAAAGAGTTCATGGCTTTTCATTGGCTGAATCTTTGTCAGAAAAGGAGTATTTCCTCTTCCTATTGGTTTCCTCTAAAGTTACAGGCTATGAGAGCTCCCCCTTCTGACTCCTGAATCTACTTAACTGAGGTTGCTGATTAACTTAGATTTTACAAGTCAAAAGGAAGATTTGGCCTGGAGACACTCATTCTGGCATTGGTGACATATGAAAGGTAATGGGAAGCAGAAGTACGGAAAAGATCACTTAGAAAAAAAGTATTAGAAAGAGAATGGAAGAGCACCTAGAAACCCAGCCCTGAGGGACAGTAACATTTAAAGTTCAGGCAGAAGAACCTGCCCCATGTCTCCAGCTAATTTTTCCAGTAGTGAATTAGTGTGCCACACTGACTATCTCAAAACTTAAATTTGAAGAATACTTCTATGTTATTAATAAACATTTATTGAAAAATCTTCCTTTTATCAGATAATCTCCTAGGTGCTGAAGATACAGACCTAAGGCTGCCCTTGAAGAGCTTAGTGATCCAACCCGACATGTGATGTTTGTTCTAAATTGCTCCACATTCTATGACACCTAAGAGGAAGGGGCCAAGATTAAACACCTTCTGCCTTCATCATAACGAGTGCTCTGGGCTCAGCTACAGAAAAATAGTTGTAGTTCTGCACATCTGAGTCATAGTTTATACATTTGCAATCTGCTATACCATGTAATGACTAATTAAACCTCTCCTACAGATGCAAAGGAGACATAGTAGAGTGATACAGAATGAGGATTTAACAAAAAATGAGAGAGCATATCTGTAAATATGACTTCCTGAGTGACTTGATTAATTAATGAATTGCCTTTTGCAAAATTCCTCACAAATCTCCCCCTCTAAGAGAAGTTAGCAGGAATCAGAAAAGCTCTGCTCAGAGCTTGTCTCTGGGAGTCACAGAACAACCACCCATTTGAGAAGAAACTGAGGCTGTGGGGTCCACACATCTAATTCTTAAAAAAATTAGTGTTTAGGTTTAGGAAGAGAACCTGCCCTCAAGCTCTCAACTGAGTTGCCCTTCTAGACTATGATTTCCAAAGAAAATTAATAACAGAATGCATATATGCAAGCCCTTTTCCATGCAAATCTCATGTGATCCTGAACACACCACTATCTGTGAATTAACCAGAGTTCTGCATCCCAGGCTAGGTCCTAACGTGGCTGTGCTTAGAACTGATTTTGGAGATTAGGCACTCCCATAATCTCCAAGACTTTGTTCCAAACAAACATATAACCTAAGTAAAAACAAGTGTGTTTGCTCTGTCAGTGCAGTCTCAAGATAAGCTCTGCAGTTCCTTCTTCCAAACAAATTTTGATCCCTGGTCTCTTCTTATTTATAAATTCTGGGGCTGCTATTGGACACTGAGATAACAAGATGGAAACTCAGAGAGATCATGTAATTTGCTCATATCAGAAAGACAGTAAATGATATAGCTAGCTAGTCCTCAAACCCAGATCTGCTGATTTCAACATTATTTCTCTTTGTAACTATTTCCTGTTGCCATCCAAACCACTATGTCACACAATGAACTCTGAACAGCAGATATGAAAATTTGGGAGAATAAAGATGGAAAGAATGTTTTTATCTGAAACTCTTCTAACTCTGGTGAGGACAGGGAAAATGTTTTGTTTACCACTATATACTTAGCCCCTAACGCACTACTAAGTTGGTCAATACTTAGCATGTAGTTGTGGAACAAAAATAAGTTAAATAATTAATTGATGAGGTGATAATTAATCATTATTATGATAAAATCTACTCTGCTAGTGAGTATATTTTAAAGGTGGTTCCAAAGAATGCCTGACATTTTAGGTTAAGTTTGATAACTGTATTTTAATTATTGTTTAAGTTATACAGATTTTGTCAGAGCATGTTCTACTTAAGAAAACCCTTAACTTCATTGTTCCATCACTTTGCAGTGATAATATATGTCACTCTGCCAGATCAGTGATAGCATTTGCTCCAGCTAATTTGTAAAGTTAATAGTTTCTTGACAAAAAATAAAATGAGGACAAAAACAATCCCCAAAAAGAGTATAGTATGATCCTCTTCTGTGAGAAAATACAGCACAAAACCAGAAATAAATATCAAAGTTGTGTAGTTTTGAAACTACATAGTTGCTAAAAGTTATGTAAGTCTAGGCATACGAAATTGTTATATGTTTTATTTTTTAAAAGACAAATATTTATTCTCTTATAATATTACTACCCTTGTAAGTTACCCCTCAAATCCTCCCTTGATGAGGGCCAAGCTCCCAGAAAGCTCTAAATCCTAAAACTGAGTTCTTTGTTTTGGTATGGTATACAAAAGAGAAAAAGAAATACATATATGTTTGACTGCTTTAAGAATGAGAAATGTGTAATCTTTCCACACTCACATAACTCAAATTGGTTTTTCAAACTTTCCTCAAAAAAAAGCACTAAAGTAAGACTATGCATCAATATGAGTCCAATAATCTTTCAATTATAACTAAGTAAATATTCAGATCACAGCTTCTATAACCCTATCTTTTTAATGTAGTTTTCTTTCAAGGAATGCAGAGATTTCACATCACTCGCTCACACAACTTATCTGCACTAAATCATATCAAAGCTCATATGAAACTTAAAAATAACAAAAGCAAACATTTATTTTAAAATAAATGCCCAAAACTCAGTTTCCATTTGTCAAACTCAAAGAAATAGCTGATTGATGTCAAAGAAATAAAAAACACCCTTAAAGCATATCTGATCATTATTATATTATTTTTAAAATCTGGATTCATGTCTCATTTTTCCTACTATTATCCAAACCATTAATGAACCCTGTTTAGCTTTTCATTTCTTATTCATTTGTGGGCCATAAGCTTTCTTTACCCTGATCTTTTTTTTTTTCCCCTTTTGAATGCCACACACCTCTTAATATGTCATTTAAACTATCCATTACATTATCTACTAGCCAATAACACCAATCATAAGAAAATTCTTCTAAGATAGTAATATTTAATGTTAAATTTAGATAGTTTTGCATGGTTTTGATTCCTCATATAAGGCAAATCCTTTCCTGCACACTGATTTCTTTTAGGGGAAAAAAAAATACTAGCTCACACAAATTAAAGATTTCTGTGTTTTCAGACGAAATGTTGCCTGCATATGCTTAAGCTCTTCTCAGCATACTAAGACTTTAAATAATCGTTTGCTATGCTACACCATGCACAATGTATCATCATGTATTACAGAGTATTACAGAGCAGCCATTTTGGAGCAAGAGCTCCAAAGTGGTTGTTCCCACAAAACGAGAACAGAGCTCTATTACAGACATAACAATATATTAAATTCTAAGAGATTTGCCAGATGGAGGGGAATCTGCCCCTTGGGCAGGACTGCCCACTCAGCACCTCCACGGGACAGCCCATTGAATTCAACAATCAAAGACATGGAGATAATAAACTCAAAAACCTCTTTCAAGTTTCCAAACTCAAAGCATACATGTTAGATAGGAGTGTCCTTGATACTGTGAGTTAGGGAACCATAAAGTAAAATAACGACTTACTCTTTTCTATGCAGACTGCTCATGTCCACATGGTACCACAAAATAGTATAGTTTAAGCCCTGTAATTGACATTTCCAAGTATTAAGAATGTAAAAAGGGTAAAGATTATTCTCTAACTCAAGGAAACATTTAAAACCCTTGTTTTGTGTACTCATAACTCAAAAACCACTAGAGCTATAAAGCACATTTTTGGCAGTATCAATCTCTATCAACCCCAACTTGAGTAATGTTTTTTTCAAGTAGATGTGGTTTGAAATTATGCATCCATGTAAGAATAGTAGGGAATTATTCTATTTATTTGTTTTAATTTATTTATTTTAAATTGTCTTGCAGATGTAGCCATGAATGTTACTAAACATTTTGTCCTCTCTGCTCTCCTGCCCCTATGACTTTCTCTCAAAAATTTATTCTTTTTTTATTATTATTGAAGTATAGTCAGTTTACAATTTTGTGTCAATTTCTAGTGTACAACACTTCAGTCATATAGGGATATACATAGATTCATTTTCATATTATTTTTCACCATAAGTTACCACAAGATATTAAATATAGTTCCCTGTGCTATAGAGTATAAATTTGTTTATCATACATATATACATATATATATATATTAGTTAGTATCTGCAAATCTTGAACTCTCAATTTATCCCTTTCCATTCCATTCCTCCCCTGGTAACCATACGTTTGTTTTCTGTGTCTGTGAGTCTGTTTCTGTTTTGTAAATAAGTTTGTCTTTTTTTTTTTTTTGATTCCACATATAAGTGGTATCATATGGTATTTTTCTTTCTCTTTCTAACTTTCTAACATTAGGATTTTTGATATTTCATCAGAAGTTATAAGAAATCAACATTAGTATAAAGAATATACTCAGTAAATCTACTACTTTCATTAAGATGCTTCTTTTGGCCATGATTTTCTCTGCAATCCACCTTAATACTCTTCTGCTCAATGTCTGTCAAATAAAAACCAACCTTAAGAGTCTGCAAACTCTGGCTGGTGCATATGGTTTTGTCCATGCCTCTACGACTCGCAAGAGGGATGACATGCCTGGTGGTCTTCTGGCCCAGCCACTAAATAATAATCTCACATTTATAAAAATCTCCAAGAAAAGTATAATATTTAGCACAGTAATGAATAATGTGAGATGTCAGAAGTTTGTGGGTATAATTAATCACAACTCCTGCCCTAGGGAATCCACCCAATTTGTGAGACAGACATGGAGTATGAAAAGGATAAAAGATCACTCACCTAAATATGCTTAATTCTCCAATCATGATCTCCAAATCATGGCTTGGAACCATTTGTTTGCCTCCTGGAAAGACACATAATGCCTGCATCTTATAAATACCATAACAGCAGCCACTGGAGGAACCATGGACACTGGGCTCTCTCCAGAGAAATGAATGAACAGACTGAAAGCTGCAAGGTTTACACCAATACTACTCTCTCCCTTGGAAGAGAATGCAAGTCCTTATAGGGAAACATGAGTAGACAAATATGTTTTCTCCCTCATACAGAAGAGCAGACTAAACTAACAAAGTATTTTAATTTTCTCCAGTAACCTGGTTGAAGAGTTTGAAACCAACATCAATTTCAGACAGTATTCTCCAGCATATTTTGTTGTCTAAAGATCCATTCCATCCTGTGTATGGATTTTTATGAAGTAATGCTGCAGCTTTTACCCAATGTGAACTATAACTAAACACTGATATCCATTATATACCTTAGTTTCTAATACAGTGAACAAAACACACTTTTCTATCATAAGTAGGCAGTTATTTTTCAAAATGGAAAACTAACTTGGTTGTGACATATGTGGGAGGTAATAAAGGACAACAAAATGAGAAGACTGGTTAGGAACCTGGCTGAAGGACTGGGTAATGGAAATTACTTCTGGACCTTATTTCCCGATGACTAACTCTTAGAGATTGGCTCCCATGCAACATGGAGCTCAAATATTTGAGCATCATATTTTGCTTTCAAACTATTCTTATCTCTGTTACATCCAAATCACATATAACCGCAAATGTTAAAATCCCCAAGAGGGATTAAAAGCAGAAAGGTGAAATCATACTACTGTGCAAAGTGTCCCACATTGTAAAATTGAGAAAAAAGAACTGCCTGAATTTTAACTTCCTTAACTATAAAGCAATATCTCCAAAGTCATTCTCAATCTAAAATTCTGTAATTCTAAAACTGTTTCACATAGCTAAATTTTACAAGATAGTGTTTAGTTTATCTTGAATACATATAATAGCAGGAATGTTAATCAGTTTTTGATAAGGAGCCAATGTGGACCATTCTGTTTCATTTCATTACATAGTACATGGTTTTGTCCAATTGTTTAGTTAATGAAGCTAAACACACACAGAGTCCTTGGAATTCTGATTCTTTTGGTGATCCCGTCTAGTTCCATGCCTTTAAATGCTGTCTATTTGTGTACAATCTCCTGTCCAGACTTCCCTGAACTCCAGGCTCATTCCATTTCTTACTTAGTATCTCCTAGATCTAAATAGAGATAAAGACATAATACATATCCAGGAATAATCTAAAATTTAGATATTTATATCCAAAATATAATG